TTCTTCACCCTCATTTCATTTGATGATTCAGATTCATCCAATAGTGCTTTTAAATTTGGAATACCTATCATGACTGGTTTTTCTTCAAACGTCGGAAGTTACCGACCCGTCCTATCGGCTCTCATAGTCATGACTGTGGCTTCAAGCGCCGCTGCTTCATCTCATAATCCGACTCACAACCTTTGGTCTCGTGATGCGACTACTACATCAAAAGCCAAATCATCAAACTCAGCTGGTGCCGGTGCTGGAGCTGGTAGTTTACAAACTGGAAATTTTCCTCCAATCGTTCAATCTATGGCTCCTTCAACAATGACAGCTTTACCGGCTACTTTCACACCTGGTAGCGCTTCGCCCGTTCCTGGAGCTCCAGCCCTTCCATCAACTATCCTTAACATTGCTAGTTATCCTCCACTCGATTTGATTCCTTCCGTCAATTCACCAGAAGTCAAGGAATGGCTTAGTCAGATCGATATGACCAAAATTCCATCTTCAGCACCAACTGGACTGAACGGATGTAGTAACACATCTAATGCGGCTGCTGTCAAATCAGCAGGAGCTGGTGGGAATTGTTGGTGGACTTGTGGTGGTTGTTCGCGTGATACGGATATCACTGTCTGCCCCAACAAAGCTACATGGGGTGCTAGTTTCGATGATGGACCTTCACCTGATACACCTATCTTACTTGATTATCTTGCTAAACATAATCTTACTACAACCTTCTTCGTTGTCGGATCACGTGTTCTCAGTCGTCCTGCCATGTTACAATATGAATACGAAGCTGGAAATCAAATCTCGTTAGTCTTCATTCTCACCAAATCTTTTTTACCAGTGATACTGACTTTGATCGCGGTTTCTTTTTTCGTCGGATAAGTGTTCACACTTGGTCTCATCCTGCCCTCACTACCTTGACCAATGAGCAAATTGTTGCAGAGCTAGGGTGGTCTAAAAAGGTCATCAAGGACACTATTGGCGTCACCCCCAACACGATGAGACCTCCTTACGGTGGTAAGCAATTTTGTTTGTACAGCTGTTTTTACCGGAGTAACTGAAGAGATCATCACCTTGCTTCCCTCTCTTCAGATATTGATGACCGAGTTCGTTACATCGCTATGGCTATGGGCCTTACACCTATCATTTGGACTACATCCCCAGCTGGAAAGACCTTTGACACTCAAGGTAATCATCCCTTTTTGAGTTGAAGTTGAAGTTTGTTTGAATGAGTCACTGATTACTCCACTTTATCAATAGATTGGAAGATCTCCACTGGTATCGTAACACCAGCTCAAGTTCTCAAGAACTTCCAAGATATCATTGCATCAGCTTCTTCGCTCACCAGCGGTTTCATTGGTAAATAGTCTTATCATATTGAATCCTTCATAAGATTCCAGTACTAATGCAGACCTTGTTCATCTTACAGTTCTTGCCCACGATTTGTATCCTCAAAGTGTTGCCTTAGCAGTAGAATACGTTCTACCACAAGCTTTAGCAGCTGGAAACTTGACAGTAGAACCAATCATCACTTGTCTTGGTCAACCACTTTCAGAAGGTTATGCAGAAACAGCTACCACCAATGTATCAACCGGACCATTCTCAACCAATTCATCTACAGCTAGTCCTAAAGTGTTTAGAAACGGTACTGATGCATCTGGTTTCTCTGGAAATGTTAATAAACCTTCTTCCTCATCTATTCTTTCTGTTAAACCTTTGATGTATGGTTTATCTACATCTTTGATGATCTTATTTATTACTTTGTTGTAATAATTTTTTCTATAACATTTTTTCCTTTTCACTAAAGAAGTACCGACTTGAATTATGACCTACTCATTATGAAATCATTTCCTTCCCCCCCCGCCTTTATTTTTCTTTCTTCTTTTCTTTCTTCATGTTCTTTTTCATTCCTCTCTTCAAACCTTGTTCTTTTTTCTTTTTTCTTTTTTTTTCTTTTACCACTTTTACATTTGATTTCAATTTTGTTTTCTTTTCTTTCTTTCTTTCTTTGGTAAACGATATTGGATTTATAAAAACGTTTCTTCGTTACACTTGTTACATTCATTTCAGCAAATAAACTTTTTGCTTTCTTCTCAGTCATTAAGCATTTAGAGACACATTAGAGGACCTAATTATCAGTTCTCATCAATCCTTGACCCATTACTAAGCTCAAAGAAGGTTTGTCTTTTTATGAAGTTTGAATTGCCAGATGAACACTTCTATTGCAGGGCTCTCTTAACCTCGTGAGATAGGTGCCCTAGATAGTTATGGTGGCCGCCGAGCGCCAAATGAGTCAAAACCCCAAAGTGCAAAAAATCAACCTGAATCTTGCCCTCAATGCCCTGTTCAGCCTATCCTGATTCTGACCAACAACACTTTGCCCGTTGTCACTCCCTGTCCACTCAGTGTCTATTCCACCGAGTGTTTCTTTATATCAGCTACAAAGTCTTGCTCTGTAGTCATTAATTGGACTGGCAATGTGCAAAGATTCTTCTTCTGAGCAATTGCTGTTGAAAAACAGATTGCATTTTCTTTTTGGTGTTTGCTGTCAAAAAGAAAGTTGCTCTAATTGCTTAAAAAACAATCATCATATCTAATGATCAATGCATCACGGTTACAAGATAAAATTGCAGGGTCCGGGAAAGTCACAAGTATATATTTGAAAGATCATTATAATATCTATCAACATTACTCATGAAGATGCTTTCCAATGTCATCATCTTAAACAACCACATTCTTTTTAAAAGGTTTGGTTTTCTAAAAACATCACTCACAGGGTACATGAGGATCTGAAGATCAGGACCAATATATTATACATAGACGATTTGCAAACAAATAGGGAAAAAAATGGATGAAAGAATGGAATCAAGGGAGATGAAGGGATTTTTTGGTCTGGGGTGATGGACTTGCAACAGACCTGGGCTTGGAATAGGCTCAAGCAGACTTTCAGGGGGAGTTTCATATGGGAGTCTCACATTTTTCCAGCCATTTCAACAATGGTTGATTGACTTTTTTGAGGATTCTCTCCTGTGCAAAACTCATTTTTTTTGAGTTTCCACTTTCAAAAAGCATGAAGTGATATGGAAGGAAGAGATGATCCTCCAATGAAGATCATGTGTTCTTGTGACCATTTATCTGTAGATCCTTTGCAATACACTTGCTAAAATCCTTTAAGATTGACATTCATCTTCCATGGCTGGAGTAGCAGCAAGGACATCCTTTTCTCATGATCAGTTAGTAAGATTTGACATAGCCACTCTGTGGCCAACACACACATTGGGTGTGTTTAAGTTGATTCAAGAAGAAACCAACCATTCTTGGAATGGCTGTAGGTTTTGACTCATTTGGCACACCACAGCCACCATAGACTTGCAACTAATCACACACTTTTGGTGGATGAGCAGGAACCCAAAACCCCCTGCTTGGGTAAATCACCTATACAGTTGTGTACATACTGTAGTTCACACACTACATTATTACTGAGGAGAACAAATTGTTCAGAAGTTCAAAATGAACAAATTTGATCTTTGAGAGAAGTCCATTGACCCAACATTGACCCCTTGCAACAACAACAGGACTGAGTAAGATCTTTTCAGTACAAATCAAGAGCACTTACACATTAAATCAAGTTAAAACTGGTTTTACTGGCTTTAAAAAAGTTTTGGACAAGGAATGAGAATTGATTGGTTTTATTTCAAAAATAAAACCCTTATTGCCTGCACATCAAATTCAAACTTTCAAAAACATATTTTGTGTTCATGGTGGTCAGAGGCACTTACAAATCTGGATAGGCAGATGTGATGGGACTCACCATGTCCTTGTGGCAGTCGCCCGACCAGGAACGCACACGGACTCCCTTTGAGGCACAAAGGCGACTCGTGTGCGCTCGTCGACAAGCGAAGACCACACAGGCATGGTGACTAGGTACAGCTAGCCCCAGTTAAAATGCTCACAGGGGTTGATTGAGAGGAAGTGGTACTTTTTGAGGTTGTGAAAATGTCTCCATGCCAAACTCACATTTGAGGAGTTCCGCACAATCACCAGGCCCAGCTGATTAGTCCTAAGTCCCTCACCAGACCAATACTGCAACTTCTCTGCACATTTTTCCCATTGAGAGGAAGTTTTGGAACTACTATATCCCCTCTATACAGAGCAGAGCCTGCGCACCACACTCTGGGGGGATAGATCACATAGCAGAGTGACTGCTCCACAATGCGCCAGGGCTGGGGTTTCTCCGCTATATACAGGAGCAATACCTTGTCCCCATGAGCTGACTTTACTCACCCTGTACATAATGTATCAATTGGATGTTTCAATCATCACAAATCCATGATCACTTCAATATTCAATCAACTATGGCTGGTGTAAAACACCCACTATACTAGAACAACATGGAAAGAGGCACCTGTATTAAATGAGTGGACAAGGGGAAAAAAATACCCTGAGCAACCCCTTGAGATGGTCCAAACTGTGGTACATTCAATCTACAAGGCTATTTGACTGTTCTAATGTGTGTGAGACACTATTAGGGCGGTTCAAGTTGACAATTGCAAACAACCTGAAATTCACTTCCGATCTTATTTTTTAAGGTAGTTGCAATGTTAAAATTTTGGATCACCTTGCATGAACGGCCTTCAAAATGAGTTTTAAGGCCTTGAAAAAACAGGCACACTGTTGCAATTCTTCTTTTTTTCCTAGCTCACGTCCTTTTTTTGTATGTTTTTTTTATTTGTCATTGGTTTTTGTTTAATGAAATTAATGAATGAACGAGATTGAGAGAGAAAGCTCTTTGCCTGATGAAAAATCAGACAAACCAGTTAGTCACACCCAAGATACGTACTCATCATCCATCACTTTCTTTGACAACATGCCTTGAATATCTGCTAGAGTCTCTGCTATCCGTGAGCTCAGCAATCTCTATCTTGTTGCCCACACAACATCAGATATACGCATGCCAGGATTCACTCAAAATCCCAACAACCCCACCAAAGGCAAAATGTTCTTCCGTGACAATCACCATCTGGCCGATTTATATGATGAACTTTTTGATTTAGAAGAACATTGGGGGAACTGCTTGGTCACGTCACCTCAAGGTGTTACCTGAATGAACGTATACGGATGCCATTGCCAACTGCATTCAATATACAAGACATGCTGCGAAGCAGACAAACTGACTTTTGCCAGGCCATGCGCACGACACCCAAAGGCTTTCAAGCTCTGCTCCAAATGATTCAATTGCATCCCGTCTTTGTGTCTTCTAGCCACAATCCACAGCCACCCATTGAAAAACAGCTTGCTATTACCCTTGAGAGGCTTGGAAGCAACGGTAATGGTGCTTCTGTAGGCCGCTTTGCAGAGGAATAAGCAGGAGTTGTGGAGCTTAAATGGGAAAGAACAGAGCCACAGCAAGAAAAGCAACCGGGTAGACCTGAACTGCCAAAAGGAAATATCAGAGTCAATTCTGATTTGGGTACCGCGTTGACTACAGGGAATGCCCCGTGTAAGTGCTGACAGACCAGGAAGAACCTTGCGGGGACCTGATTTTTTTTAAAAAACAGATGTTACATCAAGGAACAGACAAATAAAAAAAAGAGAAGGCACCTTTTTTCAACTATTTTTTTGCTGATGCCTGCACAAAAGTGGTAAAATTTTAAGGCCAAATTATACAACGTAAAACTGCAAGCCACCTCTAGAGCTGGCTCACAGAGTTAAAATTATATGTAAAATTTTAAGGCACCAAACAAATCGGGTGTCGGTAAAATTGGCTGTAAAACGCCAACTTGAACCACCCTATTCTACCTCTGTTGATCAAGAAAATTTGTTAACAAGCTCTTGAAACCCTTTTTGAATCCTTTTATCTTGAGATCCTAATCACCAATGTTCTCTAATAATTCCTTGCAAAGCTGGACTTAAAATCCACTTCAGGTTCTGGGTAATGGTTCAACTTGGCCTTCCTCCACTAGCCAAATTTGACCACAAATCCCTGATTGCACACAGGCAAGATTTTGGCCTGCTACAGCAGATTGCACAGTATGCCACAATATAGTGGCACAATACAACAACTGCTATATTGCCCGCAATATCAATGAATTGCACCTACAGCACTCCACAAATCTGAGAAAAAACAACTGGAGGTAAGAAATTGAGAGTGTTGTGCTCTGTCTGCACTCTGGAATGAAAAGATGTCTGAACCTCATTGCATTGTGGAGCAGTTGTGGTATTGACCAGATACCTAAGCTTGTGAGGAAGCAGTCTCAGACTGTGGGAATTAGTTGTGTTAGAGATGATCAGGAATTGTGGTTTTATCCAGAGTACATAAATTCTGAACACAAGAGATTAATTTCACTCATGTCAATACCACAACCTGAGTTTAACATTACATTACCATTTTCAATAACTTTTAAATGTGCCAGATCAGTTGCCTATATTTGATACAAATTCAATATATCTGCAAAAAGTTCAGGCTTGGTATGTTTTCCACTTTTCCACCCTTCCAAGTTGATATTGGATCATACCATCTCTTTCAAAACTGTGTGATGCTTCAACAAAAGTGGAAAGCACTTATTTTGTTTGTTTCAAGTTTAGAATGACAAGGTTTCAAATGGTGCAGCAATATATCATCAGAGGTGATGAGCTGCTAGCTATGGCAGTGAAATTCCCTGTTATCTTTGATGACTCAATGTTCAAGACTTTCCAGCTACCCAAAGTCTGGAATTTACCCTACAATAATCTGAAAAGTAAAGAAGTATCTTTTTGGTGGTGGGTTTTGAACAGAGCAGACACCAGAAACCTATGCATTGGGATGTATTGAACTTTGTCTCAACTGATGCAAGATCAAAGGCCTTTCATTTAAATGTGGCATTTGCCAAAATGTTCAAAAAGTCATGTCAAACTCCTATCCTTTCAAACTTATCCTGTGCTGACTCTTCACAGCAAACATCCTTTGTGTTGTGAAATTCCAATGAAACTCTGGTCCCTGTAGTGGATCTTGAGCTCCTTCACACAATGCTTCACATCCAGAGTTCAGCAGATCTTGCACCACATTTGATCAAGTTAATGTCAATGGGATCTATGTAGGAAATAAATAGTTACAATAAAACCAATGCAATTGCATCCCTTTTTAATGAGATAATTAGCCATTCTTCATATTCCAGGTCTTCCCCAGATTTGATGTGAGCTACGGTATTGCACATTTATGTCAAACATGATAACACATAGTCCAATATTTTATATATAAACAACATTTCTTTGATGGTAATTAATTAATTGCATTGCTTGCAGCCCAAATACACAATGAGGATGCATTGAATTCTGATGCCTAAGCCTTGAGCCCTAAGTCTCAGGCCTAATCAATAACACGTAAAATGCAATAGATTTTTATGAATTTTGGCCTATCCTGCCAATGCATCTACCTCACTCTGGATAACCCACAACATTGCATAGCCTGGGTTTTCCCCCTATTTATGCAATTGAACAGGTTGAAACGTAGTGCATATATAATTCATGATTCAAAACAACCTGGTGTCTACATTCAACAGGTAGGAGCTAAATTGACACACCAGCCCTGATTAGAATAAGAGTTAGATTTTGGATGACTGTGGTGGCACTTTTTGGTACAGATAATAACTTCTTCACATATCTATGAAAGTTTCTCCTGGAAGCCTATCAGCTTTCTGTGGGAAGTGCCCATAGCTTCCTACACAATATCTGAATCAAACAATTTAAAACCCAAAGTTCCTGCGGGAAACAATTGGAAATGGGCCTAACCATATCCAAAAATTCCAAGCATTGATATGTGTTAAACTGTGTCACCTGAAATCTGGGATATATGATTCCTTAAGGACATAGCACATTGGTACTCTACATATATCATGATGCTGCCTTGAATACATGGGCCATGCAGCCAATTGCCTGTGTTGACTTGGAGTTTGGTGAAGAAATGTCTGGGTCTTACAAGGCTGAGGACATCCCTGGAACTTGGCCCTGGCTCAAGCTTGAAATTCAACATTTTTGGGAAGCTCATGGATATGGAATCCTCAATGTTGAATAGCTGGCTGAAAGATCAGCATGTCAGCACTTAATCTGTTTGATTGGTCTTGAGTTTCTTTGTGGTGTTTCATCCATTTTTATGCTGACTCAATTATGATATTTTGAATAAAGAAATACCACCCAAATGTCCAAGAGATCTGTTCAAACTCAACTCTCTGGCCATTGTTTACACCTCTTTTATCTCACACACTTCACCATTCTTATCAGTAAATTGACAGGTCATCTTGCCCAAGGTTATTAGACTCTGTACCAGAGAATGTCAGATTTTTTGCATTATTTTTTTACCACCAACAAAGCTGATTACATCAAGCTGCACCAGTGGTAAAACACCTCTTCACAGGTTTTGAATGTCTTTAGCACCAGCATTGACTTTCTCAGACAAGAAACTGGAGTTTGAACAAGGGGGTTGATTTTTGTGGGACTGACTGTAATAGTATATCATGGTCTCACATTTTGAAAACTATTGGATCCATCAAAATTAACCAGTTCCACACTGACTTACCCCTGACTTGTGCTTCCTATAACCCGAGTGTCAATAAGGAATTTTCATGAGCAAGGAAAACCAGAATACTCAAAGGGTTGTGTAATCCAGGACTTGGAGCAGCTTCACTTGCGCAAGTGACAGCTTCCAATTCTGTTTAAATTTCATTGGGAAATTATCACACATCCCAATTGAGATTTGGTTGGTGCAGGAAGTGCACATCTGTCCAAGTATTCGACAGACTCCTAGTGACAGTGACCTGTGTATATTTACAATCCTCATTTATATTATCATTTTTACCTCATCAATAACCTCATTGAAATCCCACCATTCCATTGTCTATACTATATCTCAGAATGGTGAAAATCATGGTAACAGTGCTGGTTAAAGACCTCATGCAATATCTGGCAATGTGGTACCCAGAAATCCATGACAAACTCACCCTGAGCCAGTTGTCAATATTTGCCACCCTGTGTGCCAACTTTTTGAAGGGGACAAGCAGTCTACAGTACCAGGCCCTTCCATCAAGCAAGCACCCAAGTATGCTGCTGACAAGGCTAGTGAGCTCACAAACACTGCATCAAAGGAAGTTAGAAAGGAAGTTGCCAAAGAGGAAAATGCCAGCATGGGTACAAGGGCAACAGCTTCCAAAGTAGATTTTGCATAGTTCTCTCATCTCTCTAACATTATAGATATCTTTAACACTTTTATATCAAACTTTGGGATGTAGTTTGTGACAAGATCAACAAGTTCAACAATGGTTCATCAGCCACTTCCAACAAGGTTATACTTTATTATGAGCTTGTGATGTAGCATCACGCTCACACCCGGTGCCACAAAGCCACAAAGCCACGAGGCGCCCTGGAGGGGCACATGGCAAGGGCCAGGGCTTAGGCCACACCGTGGCCCACACACCGAACCCTTCATGGCCTTCAACGGGCATGGAATTCAGTCAAAGTCCCCCTAAAGATGGTCTTAAGCAGGGAATGGCGACCAAAAATGCAGATCTGGGGTTCTTTGAATGGAAGGCCACATTGGGCCACACCATGCTAGGCCATGGCCCTGGCCATGCCCTGGGCCCCAAAAAAGCCGCCGGGTGTGAGAGTGAATGTAGCATCATCTAACCCTTTGATTGATTTCAATTTTTTCAATAAAAAGCCAAATATTAGAGATCCTTTTTTGCCACTCTGCTCTTTGATTCCCTTTGTAATTGTAATATTATCACAGTATGCCAAAATCAATTTTAGGACTGTTCTCACTATGCTTTGCTGTTGAGCTTCTTGACACTTGCTCACACGAGCAAAGCAGCTTTGTGATTTGCACAACCCTTCTGTTGCCCTCAGGAAAACAACATGTAATAACTTATAAGTGATATATCACTGCTGCTGGGTGATTACATATAATTTACATATGTAGTGTGGCATTCAAAAGTAGTAATTAAGTCTAGGAATGGTAGAAAGAAACACTACCCGGACACGGTGAAACAAGGATCTGGGGCTACTAATTTTAAAAGAGCTGAAAGAGGACTTGTAAGGGCTTTCGGAGATCAGTATTGATGGATTGTTTGTTTGATGAAGCTATGTTACAATTGTAAATGATGATAAACAAGAACTAAGAACATAAAAAGGGCTTGATATACCCGGCAGACAACAGTAAAGCACACAGAAAGTATCACATAGACTACATAAAAGGGTGCACATGTGAACATCTCTGTGTTCAACTAGCTGGTGATCATGTAGATTATCACAAGTGAACAGTACATATAGATCTTCAAAGCTATATTGAGCATGTATAACCCTTTATTCTCATATAACCCTGATTCACCTTTGTAATTTATTATATCACAGCCCATCTTTTTAGCACAAAAGCCCTAGACTTCTCTTCTTTGCGGTCATCACTTGCCAAGTAGATCAGTTTTAGATGAACTGCTATATGTTGGGTTCCCAATCCAACTTAGTTGCTTGAACTAAGACTACACATGGTATTAGAAAGATCATCATAAATCAAATCATTCAGGATCATCTTCCCAATTGATCCATGTGTGCTTTTTTGTTTCAAACAATAGGCCTGTTCAAACCTAACCTGGTTGCCACAAACCCCGGCACACCTGGTTGGCTTTTTGGCTGGGAGCTCTCAATAAATGTCAACTTGATACACAAAGTTACCACCAAAGAAGCAACTGAGTGTACCAGTTTTTTGGCAACTGGGTTAGGTTTGAACACAGCTAGTGTCTTTGTAATATCACATAGTAAGAGAAAGATAGAGAAATATGATACACAGAAATCAATTAATTAAAATATATTAAGAATAGACATGAGTAGTTTGTGTATCATACATGTAATTGGTTATTGCATGTATTTATGTGTATGCAACTGTTTTACCTGTCTTATTTATTCTCCTTACTACATGTACTTGGTTAAGTTCATGTAGTTGTTCATAGTCAATGAGTTTGACATAAGAAAGGAGATGTGATGCTGAGGTGGTGTATGCCCTTTCTGACACTGAGGGTAGAGTGTTTTGCTGAGAGCCTTGTTTGTTCCCTCCTATGTCATTCCATACTGAGCATCTGTATCACCATGTCCTTGTGGCAGTCGCCCGACGACGAGCGCGCACGGACTCCCTTTGAGGCACAAAGGCGACTCGTGCGCGCTCGTCGACAAGCGAAGACCACACTGGCATGGTGTATATGTTTCAAAAGAGAAAGCTGTTGTGTGCCTTACTGTTGCACAAACAGTAGATGTACTTTCCAAGGAAAGTGCTCCTCTCTTGCTCAAGATTTGCCTCAATGATTAGCTCATAACATAAAATCTCACATGTAACTTCTTTCTTGGTTCCATATTTTCTGCTGAGGCCCAATCATTGAAAGACATTCTTGTCAAGAGGGGCTTGACTTCCTTGGAAAAAATGTAATGTACACGCAGGGTAAGACATGTAAGTCATGCACGAGTTTATAAGTTAGTCAATGTAGCTTATAAATGAGGTAGAGTCAAAACAGATGAAGTTCATTTCTTTTATACAAGTAACAGCATAGTAGAAAAGATAACAGAACAAATGAGAAGAGAAAACAAAACAAAGATCTTACCTGTAAGTCATGCACGAGTTTATAAGTTAGTCAATGTAGCTTATAAATGAGGTAGAGTCAAAACAGATGAAGTTTGAGTCTATGTGCGTGATCCTACAGGTATATAAGGACAACTGTGATCTGTAGATGAGAGAGTTAAGAAATAGAAAACATACTACATATGATTTGAATATGAAATGTAGTTATGTGAACACATCAAATATACGTGTAGAATAAAGAAACATAACAAATAAAGAACATAACAAATAAAGAGAGAAACAGATGTAGAAGAAAACAGTCATTTCAAATAAGCACTCCAACATTCCCCCCTAACTCGAACATTCTAAAACAGAAATCTGGTCACAACAACGTTGAAAAGCTTCAATTGATAGGGGTTTGGTGAGAAAGTCCGCAGGCATGGAAGTTGTAGGAACGTGAGCAGTGGTGATGTTTCGGAGTCGAACGTGATCTCGAATAAAGTGGTACCTAACATCTATATGCCTTGAGCGATCATTTATAACTGGTTCTTTTGACAGTAAGACTGTCCCTCGATTGTTGTTAAAGAGTTGAATCGCTTGTCCGGCCGAGGATAGAGAAACAGATGAAACAGGTAATTTGAGATCGTTGAACAAGGATTTAAACCATAATGCGTGCCTGGCGCAGTCCAAAATGGCCATGTACTCAGCCTCGGTAGTAGATAGGGCTGTAGACTTTTGTCGCCTGCTTCTCCATGAGATGATAGATCCTCCATAAGTAAATAAATAACCAGTTACCGATCTTCTGTCTAATGGGTCATTCGCGTAATCAGCATCACCAAATCCTTTAAGCTCCGCCGGCATACTTCCTTTAAATAAGATTCCTTGAGAAATAGATCCTTTAATGTAACGAATTAAGTGTTTCGCCGCATTCCAGTGTGCAAAAGTATAACAAGAGTTGAAGCGAGAAAGTTGGCTAACCGCATAAGCGATATCAGGCCGAGTGCTAATTGCAGCCCAGTTCAATGAGCCAATCAAGGATTGATAAGGTAAGTAAGCGGCAGCTTGAACATCTTCTGGTGATCCATTTTGCAATCGTAGACCAACCGGAAAAGGTAGTTTAACTGGATTCAGGTCGTCCATTCCGAATCGGTCAAGGATGTCTTGAAGATAATGAGTCTGATTAATAAAGATGCTTCCATCGTTATGATATGATAAATGCATTCCGAGGTGAAGAGTCGGCTTTATTTTCCACTTCAGTTCATAGGATTTAAGCATGTGAGATTTAAAATCGTTGATAAGGGAATCAGAGTTTGAAATAAGGAAGCCGTCGTCTACGTGCATGTGAAGATAGAGGAAATTGGATTTGCGTTGAAAGATAAAAAGACAGTCATCTGATTTTGATGTAGTAAATCCGAAAGCCAGTAAAACACCACAAAGATGATCGCTAAAATCTCATGCTCCTTGTCGAGTGCCATATAGAGATTTACCTAACTCCCACACCATCCCTTCTGAACCGGGTTCAACGAAACCTTTCACTTGTTGTATGTAGACTCGTTCCTTGATTATGCCATGCAGAAAGGCAGTAATGATGTCAAATTGAATGATTGAACATTTGAGGTAAGCTGCTATGGCTACAAGTAATTGGAATGTGTCTGTTTTGCCTACCGCAGAGTACGTATCATTGAAATCAATGCCTTCTATTTGTCTGTTACCAAAACAGACCCATCTTGCTTTGTACTTTAACACCACCCCGTTTTCATCACGCTTCTTCTTCAGTACCCACATTCCACCTATCACACGCGCATCTAATGGTTTAGGAACAAGTTTACCGACATTGTGCTGAACAAGTGAGTCGAATTCGATTTTCATGGCCTTTTTCCATTCGTCGGCATCAGGAGCATTCATCGCCTGGTTATAGGTAGGTGTATCATTTAGATCTGTACCTGCATGTCCTATGAAATTTCCAAGGTGTTGGGGCTTACTTGTTGTTCTGACAGGTCTTCCCACATTGTCTTTAGTCGATGTTGATGCGGTTCGGCTTGGAGAACCTCTGATGTTGGAAAAGACTGTGGAAGATGATGGTTCGACATCGGTGATTGAATGATGTCTTCGAGTGATTGGTGAAGGGGATGTACGAGGAGATATAGAAGATAATAATAAAGGTTTAAGACCTTGAGTGGTAGCAGAACTATGAATGTGAGGAACAGATGTATTTGTAGAATTGATCGGCGATAAAGAAGAAAGATTTGGAGCAGTAACATCTGGAATATCATATCCATCGTCTTGTAGAATAACAAATTTCGGTGAATCAGAAGTAAGAGTAGATGTAGAAAAAGGAAAAAGAGTCTCGTTAAAGATGACTGATTGTGTAATGATGACCTTTTTATGTTCTAAATCCCAGACTCGATACGCTTTGGCGTTTTTCTCATAACCCAATAGCACCCCTTCTCTCCCTTTCAAGCCTAATTTACCTGAGATCCTCGGGGCTAAATAAATAGCTGAGCATCCTAGCGTCCGTAAGAAAGAAGGGTCTGGACCGTGTAAACCCGTATCTGGAATGAAGGAGTTCCAAATTGAGAGCGGAGATTCGTGGTTGAGGTACGAGTGAGGTGAGTGGTTGAGAGTAAA